TACTACGCATGTTTAGCTTGAATAAAAGCCTGCAGCTGGCAGTGTTCTCTGCTAGTTACGGGGCTCTATTCTGTCTAAAGACGCATAGGACTACACCGTGCAATGGGTATTATTGTAATGCACTGCTGGGGAGGGGAGTTTTCCGGATCTGCCAGAATTACTCGGCCAGCCTTGGATTCTTTGCACCTTGACCGGGGGCGGGGCGGGGGCGGACTTCTTGTTGTTCCGTCTCAAGCAGCAAAGGGCCAAGGTTGCTGAAGGCTGGTATTCCTGTCGGTTTGTCTGTCTGTCTGTCTGTGTCTGGCTGTCTTTGCTCCCCCACCCCCGTGTATCTCATGGTGATTCATAGGAAGGAATTCCAAGTGATGATTTGGGTAAAGTGAAGATTATCACCGCCTCGAATTAAATAGGACCAACTACCGTTCACTGCAGATTAAACTGCCCTTGCCTTGTAATCCTGTGCTAACCTGCGTGGGTCTGCTCAGAAAGAGATGTTACATCCTGGAAGGTGTGTGTAGGGCCATAGCTTTAAATCCAGACATCTTTTTTCCTTGCCTAATTGCAAGTAGTATCATGAATGGGTATTTCCATCACTCTGATTATAAAGACAGGTGGATAATTAAAAGTGGCTGATGGAACAAGTGATCTTGAACTTCATGAGCCTATAGCATTTTGATACCTCCTTGGAATCAAGTGAGTATTTTTTTCATCCATGTTAGAATTCTGACAAAATTAATATAATTAGTACCATTAAGTTTCCAGGCACTTTAGCTTTCCCTTCTATAGATTGTCTTCCTTGTTTTCATGTTGGACTCCCCTCCCTCTGCCACATTAAGCTGCAGAAAATTACCATGTGTCTTCTGAGAAAAGTCATTTTGCAAGTGCTGTTGAAAGGTCCTGATGCTTTGCTATGTTGTGTTGGTTGAATTTCATCACTGCAGTGCATTCAGAGATACTGACATCCCTCAAAGACTGATGCTGAAAAAGAGAGAAGATCATAAGAAGACCTGTGGGAGGAACTGGCTGTAACACAAGAACTGATGGCTTTTAAGTCTCTGCTAGAGGAGGGCAT